ATAAGCTTCCAAGAGTCAAAGTTCCCTTCATCAGGCTGGGTGATATTGCCATTGTTGTGAGGTCAATATAAGGGAAGGGAGACTGGAGGAAGGGTGGGATAAAGAGGGGATTGACAGACAACATGTGAGCAGCAGAGTCCATTGGGCTGGAAGAGGAGTCTACAGGGGGGGAAATAGCACCAACTGATGTGACCAAGAAAACAGATCTTCACGAATTAAAACATCATAACTTATAGTCTGAACATGATCCTATATTGTAATGCTTTAAGTGATGTAGCAGTGGTGACAAAACCACTAGTGGTATTTAGTTGAACTTCGTGGACAGGCAGATGTGTTTTGCACTGCCATTGGCCAAACTGGTCTGACTTTAGAGAGTTGGGACAAGAAGCAAGGCTTGAGGAAGGGGATGTAGATCCATGGTTATAGAAAAGGAGGAGGCTAGGACCTGAGAAAGCAAAGCAGTCCAAATGAAGTATGACATAGAAAGCTGTACATAGTTGAGAGGAATTAGAAAGGAATTTTTTGTCAGTGTGGGCGACAAACGTTCGCTTTAGAGCACTATAGCGCTATAAGACAACACTCCAGGCATTCCAATGGGGTTGCTATAATGCTGTTGAACTATAGCGTTATAGCGCCATAGCGCTCTAAAGTGAACGTTTAAAAAAAAGGCAGAGATCGCCTGCGCGGGCGAAAAACTGTGGGAAAAAGCGCATCGGAACCGGGAGAGGAAACTGAAGACTACTTGGAAGTGGTTGAAAGGTAAAAACGCTTCAGCCCCGTTTCCTAAAAGGGACAGAAGCGTTTGTGTGTAAAATTACAAATATATGTTCCAATAGGGAACCGGTTCTGAAACGGTTCTGCCTGAAATGACAGACCAGAAACCATTTGGGAACCATTCCTCTTCCGGATTATATCATCTGTCTGAAATTCTTCTATGATTCTACTATGCACTATGGATTATTACTGTTGGCTTCCTAAGGAACATATTTTGGTTTAAGAGGCAAGGTAGAATTTTACAAATAAATCCCAGAACACATTTGGCATTTTTACTGGTGTGTGTGCATTTTATTTTAAAGTACTCTCCACCACCTTGGGATGGAGACTTAACTACAGAAATAAAAAGGTGGTAAATCTATGGTTCATGTGCACACCAGATACAGAGGGCTGGATTCAAGCCTTCAGAAAGGTGGTTAACAAGTTTTATTTCCTTTGTCTGCAGTACATGCCAACAGAGTGACACCGCACCCCTGCTTCCTTATCTAGTTATTGCACGAATGCTGTATCACATGTATAAATATCCCAGAGAACTCATAAGGACATGAAATCCCCCAGAAGTGCCCAAAGGTGGCCATAGGCCTTAGTAGGGTGACTGGGTTACCTGTGTTCTGGATCATTTGGGAGGCATTTCCTTGACACGTAGCACATTTTGAGAGGGAGGTTCTTCCCTTCCTTGAGATCTCTTAGGGAGAGAGCAGGTGAGGATTGCTTCTGAAGGGCAGGTGAAGAGTCCCAAGTTACAGTTGCACCACTTGTGGAATTCTTAAAATAGGGTGAGATCTCCTTCATGTATTTGACTAGAAGGGAGAAAAAGAACACAAGAGCATTTTAGCTGTGGATCAAGATACACCCTTATGGGTTACTTTCAACACAGCCACCATCTAGAGCTGAGCTCTGAAGTAAAAGCAAGAATCACAGCAGAGTAGCTCCCAAGAACACCTTGAGCGGCCAACCATAAATGAACTTTCCCAAATCCATATGAAAGATTCTCCACTGCCCAGGTTGGAACTGGAAGGAATGGTGGCTCAGTAGTACAGCACTGCATGTAGAAAGTCCCAGATCCAATTCCTCTCATCCCCATTTAAAGGATCTCAGGATATTGGGAAGGACCTCTACAAAGCAGCAGGCCCCACTCCACAGTGAGGAAGCATCCCAGCTCCAGTGACAAAGTGTCTGGAATGAGGCAAGTTTAGCAGATGTGCAAGTTTAGCAGCAGGGTGAGAAAGCCAGGGCACTAGTCTCTCCATAACCCTAAAAGGGTAAGCATACATTCTTCAAACAAATCTACATAAATAGGACATTTATAAAAAGGGGGATTTGAAAAATTACAAAGAAAGAATGCCAGCAGGGGGGTGGGAGCTACCCAGTGTATTGCACTGAGTGCAACATGTATGATTATCTGCCAGCTGTATGTCAGGCTCGGGTTGGCTAACCATATGTACTTGTTCTTTAGTGCCCTGAGATCCTGATATTCATTGCTCTGCTTTTTTGTTGTCTTAACCTTTTTCCCCTGTTCTCCCTCCAGAGTGTTATTTTAGCACTGATGGTCTTATCATCCACCCTTGCCTGCCACTACATTCCTAGGGGGGGGAGCGAGTGTATGCATGTAGGAGTAGAACCGCTTGCTGGTGTAATTCTTCTATGGAGCTCTCAAGAGAGGTCTTTCACATGAGAAGGTGTCCTTGGGAGAAACAACTTTGATTAGCTAGAGATGGACCCTATATCTCTCAAGGTCTGTGTAGGATTGTTGATGTGTAAGAATGGAATGTGTGATTGTGACTATATGCACCTTTCCTGCCTTAACCCCTCAGCCCTGACAAAGAGATCATTCCCTAAACATCTCATATCTTCTAATAAAACTTTCAACCAAGAAAGTGTGTGTGAAGAGTGATTCACCAACTACTCAGAGCCCCCCTCCCTCCCTCTCTCCCTGCCCCAGGATAGTTCCTCGGTGCAAAAGGATACCTACTCACCAACTGTAGAAGGGGTCCATTCCAAGGGAACATTCCCCCTTTCTTCAGCATGGTGCCCTGTTTCTCCATGACCCTCATGCTCCCTGGCAGCAGCGGGGCTGCCATTCTCAGAGTGGGACACAAGTCCCCAAGAACTTGCAGGCAAGCAACGAAATTAATGAGCAGTAGGGCTTAGAACAGATAAAAGGAACTACTTCTTCATCCAAAGAGTAATTGACAGGTGGAATTCACTGCCTCAGGAAATGGTGGCAACTACAAGCACAGACAGCTCCAACAGGGGATTGGATAAACATATGGAGCAGAGGTCCATCAGTGGCTAATAGCCACAAGGTATAGATGGAGCATTATGTCTACGGCAGTGATACTCTGCATTTTTGGTGCTTGGGGAGCAACTGTGGGAAGGCTTTTGGAGTTCTGGACCCGCTGATGGACCTCCTGATGGCACCTGGGTTTTGGCCACTGTGTGACCCAGAATGTTGGACTGGAGGGGCCATTAGCCTGATCCAACATAGCTTCTCTTATGTCCTTACAACCTTTCTCTGTCTGACTCTGACTGAGAGAGCCACTGCAAATCAGGACAGACAGCCCTAAAGCTAGGCAGACCGTAGTCTAATTTGGTATAGAGCAGTTTTCCGTGTTCATGGACTCTCTGCATGCAAAACCTATGTTTGCTTTTCTTCACATCTCTCTGTAATATAAAGGTAAAACCTACACTGGTATTCCCACCTCATTTCTACATTCTGCCCAGAACATGTGCACGCACACGTGGTACAAAGCGTGCGAGAAGAACACCAGTATATTTTAAATGTCTTTTGCTAAAGTGGACTTCACATTCCACACTTCATCTATTTGTGGATTATGGTGTTGCTGGGTAACTTACAGTTCTTGGCAGGGCTGGGTTAAGTTTGGCTAGTTTCCTGAGACCTCAGGTCCTTCGCTGGGCCATTATTACACGTGCAATTAAAGAAGACAAACTTCTGGAGAAAGTCCTGAAAATGTAGCCTCGAAAAGCCTCTTTGCCCACTGGAGGCTTTACACAAGGTGTTCGGAATATTCAGGTTAACATCGTGACTCTTTAAGGACACTTGTGTGCATCTGCAAGTAATTTTTGTGCCCCAAAATAAATGGCAATATTCTCACACAGGGCCAGCATCAGCATACACTAAGGAAGGGCACCTGCCAGGGCCCATGGCTCCCGCCACTGCCGCTGACCCCCACCCACACACAATGTTCCCTCTAAGCTGTGGAGTCTTGTGAGCAAAAAATCTACTTTGTGAGCTACTGACATTAAAGTTGTGAGCGAGCAATTTGGCTATTGCATAAATTAGTTTGCTCTGGAGCCATCTTTCCTGAGCTAAGACAAAAAGGTGTGAGCCGGAGTCTAAAAAACTGTGAGTTAGCTCACACTAACTCAGCTTAGAGGGAACAGTGCCCACACATCTCCTCTGCTACCTGCCTGTGCCCCATTCGCCCTTTTGAAGAAACGTCAGGATAAAAATGTATCAACGTCTAGCCTTTCCCCAGCTATCTGTCCTTGTGGCAGCTTCCCATATAGGGTGCAACATTCAAACAGGAAATGGGGTCCTCAGTAACGATGAAAAACTTGTAAC